GAAAAGGTGTTCTGCAGGCTGTGTGAAATGTGATCAGTTGCCTTGCAGTAATTTACAACCGGATCACCAGCAAGTTTTTCTTTGGATATACAGTAATTGATATAAATGCATTGGTTCCAGATTGACGAATAGAATGTCCGTCTTCACGTCTCACATGCCCGAGTATGTTTATCGAAAAAGAAAAATGCACCGTATTTCTACGTTCCGTTTCAGAGTTTAATCCTTGTTGTATTTTACAGTTTCCGCTCGAATCTTGTTTCTTGATCCGTCCACAAAGAAATGTTAAGGTAAACAGGTTTTTTTTCTCTCACCATCTCTTCGAAAAAGCATATGACACTGTGACCTCAAAATGTTCATGATCGCTTATTTGACTCGTGTCACTCAATCATTTAGTGTTTGACCAATAACCCCGGAGGACCGTTGTTAAAAATAACATGGCATTCTTTTCTGTGCTCCTATTCTGGAGCTGGTGCCACATTTACGCGGGCCACGAACCACCTTGGATCAATGCCAAAAGTCACCGGACTTTGAAACTTTGGCATTTATAGTAAATTTAAAATTTCTTGTTCCTCCTCCAACTTTCCAAAAGAAATGTATCATTATTGTTTGTGTAAGGTATGAACTATTATTCCTTCTTCCCTTGATTCCCGTGTTTCATCATACCACTTTTCGACAACAGAGGAAAAGAGGAATTCCTGCATGATTAGAAATTTTAATTTTACGACGAATGAACCGAGGAATTGGAATGATCCCCGATTATTATATTGCAACAAATCAGCGTGAGCCAGATGTATGATTTATTATCAAGAAGCATCTCACATTTCTTTCTTATACATTCTTGCACATGAATGATGAGAAAACCTTAATTTCTCTGTCCGAATCCTCGCACCATTCCCCATTGAACGACCAATGTCGCCTCCCCTTAAAACATAAAGAAAAAAAAACACGGAGAAAAAAATTATCATTTATATTATGTAAATGTGATTTGTGATTTATTATAATCGTTCTCAGACAGCCACATCAGAAATTGGTCTCACTCACTCGCATTCATTCGCGCGTGGCCATAGCGTGAGTTTCCTTCGGCATCTTTAATTAATTCCTATCTGCTCACCCGTCAGCCGTGCGATCTCATTAATTAGAATTACCCAACATATTCGGAATGCTTGACGTCAATCCACCGGTCGCATGCACAGCGTGATAACGTAGAGTGTGCACGCACACCACTTACTTACTGACAAACATTCCTCTCTCTGTGAGATCAAATGTGGGGTTAAGACTGTAACCCCCAAAAAATCATCTCCTTCCTCCTTCGTTCGCGCGGTCTATTCTTTTTTTCGAACCTCTTGGCGATGACGAAGAAACACGGGCAGGTCCCCCTTCGTTTGACCTATCATAAAATTCGAGGCCGATCGTACCAAGATATACGCAATTTTAAAGCACAGGGGTTTCTTTAAGAGTTGTCGAGAGAACAATATTGGTGAGACGATGGTTGTTTTTTAAAGCAATGTCGATCAAAAATAACAGAGGGTGTCCTGCGTCACGAGCGTAATTTCACGATTCTCTCACTCCCTCCCCCCCGGGCATGGCAATGAAGGGAAAGGGATATTTTTTTGGTTTATACGGTTCATTGATGGGTTCAGCGATGAACCAGTTGATGTCCAGAGAACTAGACCCTTTTCGTCCAGAAAGAGTTGGCTGGTGCATGGAATGCATGTCGAGAAAAGAAAATACCCTTTAAAAAATAATTACGTACATTGGCGGTGACATGGGTGACCTGATAAATAATGTCAAAGGGGAATGTGCCGAGATACTTGCTATAAATATTATAGACAAAGTAATAAAATAATTTTTAATCTCACAACGATTACAATGCAGGATATCCTTACATCGATTTTGCAGATATTTTCCTATGGAAATGGGTAATTCTTTTCGAAGGCGGACAGGGATTTTTCGGTCCCTATAATTGTGATCCTAAAATTTACATTGTGTATGTATTGTTTAAAAGTAGGGACCGAAAAAATCATATCTAGCATTTTTGCTGCCTTCAAAAATAATTACCCAAATACATAATCCAACACCTTCATGAATAACGGGACTTATTTGTTATGGTTAAGGGAAATATCCATGCCAGTTGTGGTAAAAAGACTTTTTTCCCTAATAACCAAATCAGGAAAGGATTGAAACCATTGGCTGGCATAATGAAAATTTACGCATACCGTTTATGTTACTTGCGTTTCCTGGTATAATGAAAATCTGACTATGTGTTCTAGCCCGGTATAATTCTGTCGCCTACCCGACATAATGAAGTTTGGGTGCGTCCGTTACCCGGTGTAAAGAAGATGTTTGGCTACATCTGTTGTCTGGTGTAATGAATTTTTGACAATATCTATTGCCTGATGTAATACATCCACCGCTCGGTGTAACAAGAATCAATCGACTTCATGATGTGGTGTCATCATCCATCTCTCTTGACGCTCTCCCGCCTCTCCCGATGCTCGTGAACCCGGTTCAGTCTCAAAGATCAAGATCATTTGCTTTGTGAGTGATGGCGAAAAAAAAAAAAAAAAAACGACATACAATCGTATGATCGTATGTTTCTCGTCAAATAAATTGTCAAATTTGGTGATACATTATTAATATACGTACAATAAAAAGTACGTGGGTAGTAGGAATTGACGCTAATATGCCTATTGCGTTGATAAATTAATCTGTTTGTATGTCAAGATTATTGATACAATTAATGTATGTATGTATGTATGTATATGGATGTACTGTATGTATGTATGTATGTACGTGTGTGTGTATGTATGTACGTATGTATCTGTTACATTATGAACTCGTTTGACGGACAGTTTGGTAACCGGTTAATGTAATGATGTGATGTTTGATTTGTCTTTGTAAAAATAGCACTTTCTCTTTTTTTCACCAAATTTATTACCTCCTCAAACAAAATTTCCTAATTAAGGGATTTTATAAACATATATATATATTTATATGGTCATTGACCTTAAATATTTGTTCAACAAGTCATTTGATCTAATCGATCTTTTTCAAGGTTGGCCATGACTCGGGTGACATGACGCACTTCAATGTACTGTATATGCCATGATCTCATACAGTGGACGCTAAATTACACAAATTGTTCGCAGATTTCATTATACACCTTTATCACCACGTTTTTTGCGAACGATGTCACTTGAATAATTCGGTTGCTGCCCATTATTACCATTCTTTAAAAAGTCAACATACTGTCATATTATGGTATGTAACAGATGAATTATTTTATTTTTTATTGTGGTTTTAAAGTATTGTGCGCCAGTATAATCATTTCACAGGCGGAGACAATTGTCGAGAAAGAGAATGCAACGAACAATCTGTCAATATTGTCAACAATATCTCCCTCTCGTGTACATATTTGTTGATTTTTGATCCTATTCTTTCAACTATTATTACCCGCTTTGTGCAAGAATCAATTATTTGATTAATGAGTTTTTTGACACGCATACATCTGTGTCAACCAGGGGAAATTAATCTCCCCAGGTGAATTAATTGGTTTGAAAAAAGTTGGTGAGGTCTGTGTACACGTGATGATTTAAAATCCATCACATCATTTTGGGCCTTCCCGCGAGCCGCTTCTACCGAAGGCTTGAACACATGGTCAGCACCCTGGAATCCAAGTGTTCTCCTACGTGCGATACCGTACGGTTGCACGCGCGGCGGCTTTAAAGCTTCGATATGTCTACACGATACCAGTTTCTGCGGAAAGACGGGAGATTGAATCAACCGAAATCCTGATGTCATAATTGATTTTGGCATTTTTCCTTTTTTTGACTTTGAATTCTCCTCTAAAACACCTTGACCGGAGATATCCGCGCCCACCGGAAAGCCAGGGGCGGCTGATGTATCAAGTTGCTGGTCCCCAACTCATTTATTTTTACCTTATTCGGACCTTCCATTTACTCCTGGGAAGAAGATTCACGAGTCTAATACTTTTCTTCTAGAAGGGCGCAAATTTATCCGTCGCTTAATCGAATCTGGTTTAAAGCACGTAAACTTGAAAGGGCACCGTCCCCGGACCGTCCATGATCGTATAACGACGACACCCGGATTCAAGCGGACGTCTCTCGAGCGTCACGGTCAAGTGTTATACCAATCGCACGACACTATTGCTTTGCGAAACGCACGAATTTCCTTCGTCCGCAAAATTAAGCATTGATCACATCCGAACGCTCCTTGTGAACCGTGTTCCGGTCCCAATGTACCCAAATAAAATTCTGTATATGCTTGTTAACTCCTAATAAAATAGATAACCTAATAACAATAATTACAGCTTAATTATTACTAGGCTGGTTTGTTTTGAATAAGGACATTTTGTTGCTGCTGCCTGCTGATGAATTTTTGCCGAACAAAGTTTGTTGATTGCCGATAATTGGATAACTTGTAGCAAATTTCGACCCAAAAAAATGTGCCGGTGAGAGGAAAGACGGTAAAGGTGTGCGACACGGTAAATTTATCGTGCATACTTAGGTCATGTACGTACGCACAAATCCCTTTGTCACCTTCTTGAATTGACGATTACTTACTCCCTGTATGTACACATCTTGTAATTTACTTTTTCAAATTTGCGGCAGGGTCTTTCCATAATAATTTAACAAATTCCAACTTTGAGCATGGATGATGTACTTGGCATATGAATCATTTAATTCATCTATTATGACCGATGACATTCGGAAATCTTTTCTTTTATTCTTTATTCTCAAAACTCCATATATGTAATGGGCAAAAACGTAAAGACGATCTTGCATTACCTAGCTACACATTCATCGTTTGGCTGCAATGTATGTAACTGTTTATAAACTGGCATGGGCTAAAAAACTCGTTTTTCAACAAAAAAGATTTACACAATTGGCATAGGTAATGGCATAAATGCACATCTCACCATCGAGAGATTTTTTTTTAGTACAATGGGGTATTCTTCACCTCTCCCAACGTTTTTTTTTTTTTTTTTTTTTTTCTCTTTCGTTTTTTCTTTTTCTTCCACTTTTAACTCAGGTCCTCCCTTCCCATCCTTCTAACTTGGATTATGTTCTTTATGTACATAAGCCAACGTTACGACAGGGAAATGCGCTAACACGAATTTATCCACAATCCACTGCCAATTCCTTGAACTCTCCTATATTTAATCTCATTCACGGGATGTTTCTTCTATGTCCTGGTACCCGTGAGTATAGAATCGTACTCTCAGCACACCCATGTGACATGTGACAAGTCACCACCGGCGTTACCGCAAGCTCGTCGCATAACAACGAAGGTTCGACTCGCACCCTAAATGGAGATTTTCACGAGACATGCTACCGTGTTAACACCTAGATCGACCTTCGGGAATGCGATTTAGGCAATTTTCTTTTTCCTCTGAAATCAAAAAAAAAAATTACATGTATCTATTTTTCTGGGTAAAAGAAATTTCTATCGCCGTGAACGAATGGGCGGCGAGAAACGCTATCAATGAGTTTCGCTCGATATAAACAGAGCGATAAGATGGTGAATCCCAAACAATATACCTCAATTCGTCATTGTCAGGTCATACGTTTCATTGGAATAGAAAAATCGTTCGTTCAGTAATCCGCATATAGGCGATAGGAATTTCCACTTCAATATCCGAAATACCTATCAATCAAGTCACACCATCCTCCTCATCGTAATCTCTTATTATCTCTGATAATTATGGTTCTTGTTTTTTTTTTTTTTTTTATGCGTTATATATTTAATTTAGGCTCGAATTATTCGTGTGTCCTCTGGGATGGTTTTGTTCGCTCTGGTCTTAGTGTGTGTGTGTATATGCTATTTCTAGCATGGTCGGTGTTGTCACCATGTAAACATTTTTTTTATACGGCCAAATATGTTGAGTACTCTATGCGCACAATAGATTCAATAGATTCTCAATGGGCATGCGATTGCTAAAGATGTTCAATAAATATTTAGAGTAGATGTTGAAGTACCTTCTACTGCTTTTTTTTTTTTTTTTTTTTTTTTTTTTTTTTTGCAGAACTTGTACGAAACCGGTCCAATATACAATTTATATTACCATTTATATAATGCAGTCTGTGACGACTTTTAATTATACAACAATCTACCATACAGATTATCACATATTATGAATTTATCTGCTCTCTCTTTGATTTCGTCAGATGTTTTTTTTTCTTTGCATCTCGACTTTCTCCCCTCCTGACGAGAAAGTTGTCCACTATACCACATACCGAACGTGACGTCGATGCTTCTTTTTTGATTGTAGTGTGTGAGTAAAAAGAAGAAGAAGTTCGGCATGCTGATGACCCCTCTTTAATCTCTGATTAGTTGTGTGATAAAATTAAAATTACATCAGTTATTAGTCGTGACTTTTACTTTAGAATAATATATATGGTCTCGTAATATATACGCATAAACTGATTATTTTAAAAAAAAAAAAATGGAAAGCTTTTGATTAGATATATTGGTGAACAGGAACCGACCGTAAAAGGTCAAATGACTTTTTTTTTTTTTTTTTTTTTTTTACAGCAGTTACTATTTCAATATTGTGTTTGTGTAGCTCGTTTTTTCCCTTACACATTATTTACTCACTCTAGTCCATTATTTTACAGTAGAGCAATCAGTGTTTCGAGTTACAATTGGTTTGATAACTTGTCTGGCACCAATTGAAATTGAATTTGTTTTACAAAAGAAAATATCTAACTTATCTTCATCCTATTATTATTTTTATTATTATTATTATTATTATTATTATATTATTATTATTATTATTATTATTATTTCTATCGTTCGGTTAGTTGATTTGTTATTATTAATATATTATTACTATTTTACTATTTAACAACCTCTTTCTTTCCTTTTTTTTTCTTTGCTTACTGTAATTTCCTAATTTATTTATTTATGTGTCTAGAGTAAACTAGTAGTCACCACACTTTTTGTCACGCACTCGTCACTACCCCTTCCTCGTCGATATAAAGCTTTCTTTCCGTCCAACCCTTTCTTTTTCTCTACTTACTTCTTACCTTATACATATTGTACAGATTACGGTACGGGTGAATATCTTTTATTTTCTCTTGATGCACAACAAATACATATATATATATATATTGTTCATCCTGTCCTCCAGGATATCTTGAATTCGAATCGAAAAAAAAAATTATAAAAAAAAAAAAAAAAAAAATTATAAAAACGAGGCAACATTTAATATTGTCCGCCGAAGAAAAAGATTTCTTTTTTTTTTTTTTTCCTTTTAGAAAAAACATGATTTAATCTCTTAATTCTTCTTACAAACCGCATTGAAATCTTATAATAATAATCTTTTCTTTTCTCTTTTTACTTGTATATCTCTCCTCCTTCTGGCCTCATCATCATCATCATCATCATCATAATCATCATCATAGAGCTCCATCATAGACTCAAAGCCATTAATAGAAGCTACAGAAAGCTGCACATCACAAAAATTACGCTTGAAAAATAAAGTTTCACTATTTTTGTAAAATCCAAATAGACCGCGCGCACAATTTTTCGAACATCTCGTTCAGAATCTTCACACGCCGATTGAACAGCAATAATAATCCTCCACTTAATTTATTTCAATCTCGACCTACGCCATCTCTCATCCTGTCCACCTCCTTCCGCTATTAAGAAATCCACAAAGGGACAATAACAACAAGAAACCATAAACTCCAGACAAGAGAAGGAATACCAAAAAATTTTTTCTTTTTGTTTTAGGTAACATCCCAGATTTTATTATTCCTATTGGAACAGCAGACTTCTGACTGGTCCGACAGGCTCCATTTTCGGTACGTAATTGCTCTTATCACCTGTATTTGGTTTAGACTCCTACTGAAATTTGCACTGTGACAATCATCATTACACATATTAAAAAAAAAAAAAAAAAAAAAGAGAACCTCTACCCAATACATATTCTTCCCTTCTTTTTACCACTCTTTTCTTTTTTTCCCCGTCATTCGTTTTTTTTTTTTTTTTGTGGTAAATAAAAAACCGATTAAATCTGTCATTCCTTTTTTTTCCTTTCAACAAAAAAAAAAAATCATCTCGTCTCTTCACAATATCATCATCTATATTCCTGTTTCTCGAAGTCTCACCAGAGAGTCTCTTTCTTTTTTTTTTTTTTTGGTTTTATCTTGATTTCTTCTTTCTTTCTTCCTTCTTCTCTTCTGCTGTTTCCCGATTATCTCTGTACTCAATAACATCATTATCTCTTCCACAGGAGTGTTTAGGTCATTCGAAGGAAACCATCTCGGGTCACCTATATCAAATAAACTGTATACCTCCTTATTATAATCCCTTCCTCCGTATATAGAATTTTTTTTCCTTAAACTCCGACCAATCCTATTTCGTCAAAATTTCTCACGCCACATCCAACATCCTACTACGACCACTCGTCCACTGACCGTCCTCCAATCCATCAACAAAACAAATCTTGCTTCTTGCCGGTTGGTTATTTGAAATATATACTCTTAAGAACAGATTGGCGGTACATACAGACGCTTACATAGACATTATCGCGACAACTTTTCATTTATGGCTGGTTTGCAGAATTCAAATAAGCTTTTTACCGATTCATCTAACACCAATCCTGCATTAACAACTGCCAGCACTCATTACTCGCAACCTCCGCGACACCCAACCACACCAACTTCTCCTCCACTCTCTAACACCACGACTTCTCCACGAAGCTCCTCCGAAACTCTACGAAGCAACAAAGGTAACAACAAAACTTCACCTACCACCACGACGACAAGCACGAATTCAACCCCTCCCAGCAACCCTACCTCTTCTGCCGCTTCACGTTCATTAACCTCGACGGCGACCCAGACCACTCCTCAACCTCACTCGGCTTTCTCTCCATACAATCAGGTTCCCCAACACCCCACACCGGTCACAACTCCCACGACGACGAAGAACTCTCTCTCTCAATCGGAACCACCCACAATGATGACTACTTCTCATTTGGACAACAGTGGTAGCACCGCTCTGATTTACCCACAACAGCATCCCCATTTCGCAAACTCTTCCACGACTCACTTTTGGCCCTCGTGGAATTTCAACGGCGGTAATCCACCCAACGGGGCCGCCGTACTACCAACTACCGGCGGCAGTGCGTTCGTGCCCGCCGTTGGATATGGTACCGGTTCGAATATGGCACCCGGACACAACCCTCGACCAAAACTCACCACCACCATATGGGAGGACGAGGGAACGCTATGTTATCAAGTTGATGCCAGAGGTATTTGCGTGGCTCGAAGACAAGGTGATTTTTCTTTTTAACTCTACGTGAAATTTTTCATGCTTGCGTAATCAGCTTGTAACATGACCGTGTCATGAAGAATGTCACGCGTCAGTTACGTTTCAATCGACATCGTTTGCTCACATTCTTACCATTCACACCAGACAATAACATGATCAACGGGACGAAGCTGTTGAATGTCGTAGGAATGTCACGCGGCAAGCGGGACGGCATCCTCAAAAATGAAAAAGGAAGGGTTGTCGTAAAAGTCGGTGCCATGCACCTCAAAGGTGTTTGGTAAGTGGTTGTTTGCTCTGCTTTCTTGTTTGGTCGCTTCTTGTGGTTCTTTGTGACGTTTGGAGAAAAATTTTGCTCCATCCTTCTCGTCTGCTCGCTCACTCACTCACTCACTCACTCACCTACCTATTACCCACTTTACATTCTTTCCCCCAGGATTACTTTTGCGCGAGCAAAGACCTTGGCCACCCAATTCAAGATCAGCGAACTGGTACGATCTCATTCTAAATCACATCGTGACGACCAAGGCGATGAGCCTCAAACAATTAATATGATTTTTGATTTTGTGCATGCAGCTTTATCCATTGTTTGTGGACGACCCCAGCGTCTTCCTTCACAATTCATACGG